TCCTCATTGATTTCCACATCATGAGAGCCCTGCGTCTTGCTGCGTCTTGCTGCGTCTTGCTGCGTCTTGCTGCGTCTTGCTGCGTCTTACCTGTTCCTAGTTCCCCTCGCCGGTTCCGACCCGGTTCGTGTTTTAACTCCCTGGATGATCTCCTGGCCTTGGACACTACCCTTTGTCTCGGATTACTCTTTTGGATTTCCTACATGGATTGTTAGCCTGGACTCACTTCTCCTGGACACCTGCACTGCATGGACACACCCCCCGTCTCCAGACCCTTTTCCTGCATGACTATTTTTCCCCTTGTGTCTTCACTATTCTGGATCGTGTCGTCCGCATAGGGCCCGGAAAGAACTGTTCGTTACACCACCTTTAAAGGTGCTATATAAAATAACGTTTATTATTATTATGATAAGGAGGTTTTTGCTTTTTTTTTTCTTGAATAATTGGGAACATCAGAATGGACAGTGCATATCAAGGTCACATTTTATAATGTGTTTTGGTCATAGTGTGGAAATGTTTATTAAATAATTGCAGTATCCTGACAAGTCTGTATGGAAGATTATCGGGATATCTTATTCTTTTGAAGTTTTCAAGCTGTGGATAACTCTCTGAGATTTACTTTATTAACTGCCAGACATAATCTTCATTTACATTCAAAACCTATAAAACCAATGTTTTGCATATTCTATAGACTGCTAGTGTATAGAAGTTAATGAAACACCCATGTAGACCTTTAGTTTATATGGTCATCTTATGTATACTGTTTAGTTTAAAAATATAGGTGGATTTAGCGATAAAAACAAAGAAAAATAACAAAACTGGTCAGGTCATTATTCTATAATAAACATTGCAGTCTTTGGTTATGTACTTATTTTTACTCATTGTATCTATCAATTAGGGAAATCCAATGGTTATTCACTCTGACTTATCATTGCCCCCTATACCAGCTGGGAAGAGATGAAGAGAACACACTCACTTTCTGATGCACATGAATATGCCCTTTTTATTCATATTATATTCCTGGAATACAAATAGCAGGGATTTAGTGCCAAATGGAGGATAGACACAGTTTACCAATGATGCTTAGTCTAGCAGTTGCCTGATTGGTGACTGAGAAACCAAGAATTTACTGCTGGCAGCTCTAACCCCCAGCATGCAACATGGCATAGCCTGCATTTTAAACTGGCAAAGTCCAGTTTATGTGAATCTTTCTGCACTCCAAGCTTCAACTCTTGATGGATGATAAGCTACTTACAGCCCTGTTTTTAAAGTGGTACTACCTTTAGACACAGAATAATATGGTTTATGTTACCAGATATTCCAATATCAACTGTACTGTAATTGTAAAACTAAGACAGGAATGTTTTACAATACAAACATTTTATTTTGGAAAAAAATAATATCAAACATCTCTGTTCAGCTCACAATTCATATAAATTATAAACTGATTCTAAACAATTCTAAGATGAAACTGAAAAAGAAATATAATTAATTTCACATACCATAAAAATAGGCTCCTTTAACAGTAGACTGTGTTTACTGTTCAGTGATCTCTCATTAAAATATCCTCACATATACACTAAGCAAACCACGCTGAAGCAGTTTGGATATTTTGGCCAGCACTTAATGGGAAAGGCAAATTAATGACCCTGTCACATACTCTGATAATCACTCCAGGACAGGATTGAATTATACATTTAAGGCAAAATTAGGACATTTTCCCCTGCAGTTGTTCTCAGTCATACGGTATCTGCAGCTTAGGTTATTGAGAAGCTTTAAAATATTAATCAAAACATCCAAAAGTTAATTTCACTCTTAAAACATAGAAAGAAAAACAAAGTTTTGACTGTTTAACCTTCTTCAAATATGGACAAACATTGCCAATGGAAAATGTTCTTTCCCATTCTAAAAAGAAGACTAATCCAAATCTGGTCTAAAGGCAATACCCACAGGTGTTTTGCCCATTTGTCTAATTTACTTCTGTGTCTGTATAAAGGAAAGGGTAAAAATGATTTTTTATATCTTTGTTTTGTTTTTGAATGCTAAAAACATTATATCTCATGCTACTAAGGAGAAGTAGCCATGAAATATTTGTTTAAATATGTCTACTTAAATGTCCAGCATCAAGAAATCCGTTGTATTTTATTCTTAGATGTTTCATAACTGTATATATAATTTAAATGACAAAAAGACATAATTAAAAAACAAGTTATATAATCTAGATATACCTGTACTCTTATTCAGTTAATGGAGGTCTAAGAGCTCAAGTCTGTTGTGTAAGTAAATGGGACATTGATAGTCACTGTCCTTAGTTAGACTGCTATCTCTGCTTCACTTCATAGGTCTGGAGCAAAATCCAAATAAAGGAAATCCATTCCTTTAGAACTCTGAACTTCTGTCCCTGTATTTTTTCCAAACCAATCAATCTGCCTTTTAAAGCCATAAACAGCATGCAAATCATAACCACAATTTTCAATCTTCAATCTTTTTTTGCAGCTACACATGCTTACCAGAGCAAGGGATTCCTGTTTTAAGAACACCCTTTTCAAGGACACCTCTGGTAAATACAATAAATAGAAATACAATGAAAAGCATATATAAAAGGTGGGTCGGGGACATCTTTAAAATGTCACAGTTGACTATTTACCTTTACTGTCTGTATCACTCTCAGAAAAAGGATAATATGCTGAACATCTTTAATTACCAAGCATATATGAAGCTATCTTGGCTAAAAATGCTTTGTATCCTGATACTGATCATTCGCTGTGAGGACACCACAGAAAGAAAGTATGCTCCTACTAACCCCACTGCTCTACTGTTAACTCCTGCTGTCTGATAATCCTTTACTATTGTCAGAATGTTTTATTTTAATGTAAATAAATTAAACATGGAATGGGACGACCCAATGTAGCGTAGCCTTTGGGCTTGTAACTGTCAGTCTGTAGGTAGAGGTCTGTGCTTGAACTGCTTAAACTACTGTTGTACCATTAAGTGAGGTTGCTCTAATCCACCCAGCTTCTGTATATAAATGAGGACCAGCATAGCTGGGGGCGGGTCAGCCCTGCATTTCAGTTATGGCTCAATGGGGGGTGCATGCTCTCTAGTCTGTTTAATGCAAAAGAAACCAGGATGAGTTCTGGTATAGACTTTACTTTTTTATCTATGTAGTAATAATAATAAAATAATGCAGACTGGATGCCTCAATATTTACATTTAAAGAGCTTAGATAGGTACCACAAAGACTAAGCAGACCACATCCATACTATAGTTTTATCGATGTTCATGGAGCTTATCATCACCTTAAAATTCAGACCAAGAGAAACCTGGCAACATTTCTGTTCATATATTTGCAAGATTCGTCAGCAGTCCCGGAGCTCTGTGATTGACTGTTGCCAGCACTGTACCATACCAGGGAAGTTGATCATTGCCTACTTTTGCTCACAGCTGCTGTGCGTTGACAGCCTGTAAAACGTTTCACAAGTATGGAAGCCGCAGACAATACCTTATGTATTCCATGGGTAAAAATAAATCAATACATCCATTAATAATATAATAACCAGTACAAAAGGAGTAATATTTTAAACACATCTATTTATCCATGTAAATCTTTGGACTGTTCAGAAAAAAAATGAAGGAAAAGCACCCCTTGTCCCTTGATCCCATAGTTATTTTGGAAAATAGGTCATTGTTTCGCAGCAGAATGGAAGTGGGCCTCAGATAAAGAAATAGGAATACTGAGTGTCCAATTCAAGGATGTCTAACAGGAATTCACAACTCCAATAGAATACTACTATGGGAAAATTAAAATGTGGCTCTTGCTGACTTCATATGTGCACTTAGTTAGGTCTGTCATAAACTTGACAATCTCCACAAATAGTAACGTCAAGCAGTCAAGGTGGATTTGTAGACCAAATTAATGTTCTTCAGAAGGACATAATTGAACAAACCTTCTTTTAACATACCTCCCTGTATTCTATATACATCAGTCAAAAAGGAATACTTCTAATATGCAATGATACACACATTTCATCTTGCCCCACTTCACAATCAACTGCTTTCCTCAAATGTTACAGTTGCATATCTGATGTAATTCAGGATAATTGCTTTGACATGCATTTGGACATCCTTGAAATGTAATATGCAGAGAAATAAAGAAAACATGGTACTGATTTTAAATAGAGCACTAAAATATATTTTATAGTGTTTTTTTAAATACATTCCAGGGAAGTTAGAATTAAGTATTTCCATGTGGAAAGGGCATGAGAGTGAAATCTACAAGAAATAGAAATGAAACAGGCTATACAGTATGGAAATGTATAGATGTACAGCAATGGAAAAAAAGCCTATGGAATCCTGAACATACATTAACATATTCTCAACAGTAAGACAGAATCTAAAAAAAAAACTTAATGTTAATAAATTACTTTGACAAATCTAAAGATCTGTCATACAGGCCCACTCTTCTCACCACTAATAGCCCCCCACCTCACCACCTATTGAATTTCACAAACTAAACTCAAGGAAAATCAAATATTTATAATGAGAGTTTGGATTTTCAGAGCAATCTTTACCAGAGAGAGCTCTAACTGCCATGTTTATAATAGTATGCCTGGAAAACCTGTATACTGTACTTTAATGTCAAATCTGAGAATTTAACAGAATACAAAAACTGTCTGCGTACTATGAGGTTCTGTGTGCTCTATAATTTGTACATATCTTTAATTCAGACACAGTAATATTTGGTCATTGTAAACCACACTTTAAAGGAAAAAATGATTAGTAATTAGCAAACTTTGTTTCTGATAATGTGTTCAATTGAAATATTCTAAGAAAAAGAGATGTAATAAAATTAAGTATTATAAGATGCTGCAGTTTTCATTAGAACTGTAATGAAGTAATTGTTGTTCTTTACAGACACTTAAAAATCTATGTCTTTGCAACACCCCAAGGTAGAAAACAATAAGATAAGAAAATAGGATGAGAAGAAGTACTGATTTTACCTGGAATATTAGACAGGGCATCCTCATTTTCAAATACCCCTCTCCTTTTTGGTCCTTGGAGATTGTGCTTTGATTTCCAGAGAAGTTTGACCAGTTTGATTAATTCAGGCAGCTCCAGAGTGAAGGTTCTTTGCTGGTAGGTGGAGAGGGTCCACACAGAGGTAGGAAGTAGTTCTTCGCTCACTTTCAGTCTCCTACCAAACTCTGAGCTCAAGAACCTGTTTAACACAGGCATCCTCCTGACTGTGCTTTGCAGTGCCAGAAGTCAAGGTGAGGCTGCAGAACAGGTCCAGTACCACTGTAGTACTCCCGGTCTCCACCCTAAGACTTCTTTGTGACTCTGTAGTCCAGAGTAGTAGAGGTTTGGAGACAGTCCTCTACCTAAAGTTTTCCTCTTTTTCCTTCACGATTTCCCCTGGAAAGAAAACTACCAAAAGCACTTTCAAGGTCCCTGCTGGCTGAACAGTTCTTTGGAAAAGAGAGAGGCAGAGGGTGGGGGTGGATCTGCAAGGGAGAGCAGGAGGGAGAGAGAGAATGTGATTCAGATTCTCTCTCTCCCTCTCTGATGCCTCAGTCAGCATAATAAGGCCTCGTAAGGCTGAGACCGTAAGAAGATTTTATGATGAGAACAATCCATTCAGCCCATCAGAGCTTGCAGCTTTTCAGTAGACTAAGTGATTTTGAAAGATCCCAGCCTATTAGTCTTTGCCATGATTATAAAGGATCATCCCATATACCCAGCTAAGAGTGTGTATAAAGTGTCATCGGCTATGTTTCAAATGCAGAAATTATAATATTCAGCTTACTAAAAAATGGTTGGAAAAGGAATGCTCCCGAAGTGCTGTATGGAAGATTAAAGGACATTCAATGATCACATTAAGAGCCCCACTATACCAGCTTACAACAGGTTTTCTCGTTTGGCTTCCCTTGACCGTTCTGGAGCACTGCAGTGATAGTGGTTATATTATAACACACTAGGAAAGAATATGTTAGCAGAGCAACATAGTCAAAGTCACTTTCTTTTCATATTCTCTTTTTTCTTTATTCTCAACATAAAGTCCTAAGAGGATTGTGCGAGTTAGTTAATTACCTCACTAGACTCAGCAGTCACTCTCTCAGCTAAAGAGGCAAAACAGTTCTTTTTTGTTTGAAGAGAACCTTGAACAACGAGCACGGCAGAAAGAGCAACAGGATCTGAATACAAAAAGAAAACTCTTTCATTGCCCTAGACTAATGTGACAATGTGACCCCCCGATCCCTCAAACACCCATCCCAACAACTCCTCTCTCATACTTTTTTTTCTGAAAAGAGTTGGCAAAATAACAAAAGTTTAATGCTGACAGAGAGGCTTCTGCACAACACTGAAGCAGAAAATGATTACAAATTATAATGACTCAATAAAAAGCAAACTTACTGAGGTTTGGAGACATTTTAGGCATACCACCAAGCTGAATTTCATTTAGTTTGGGCTTTCCAAGAAGAGTCCAACTTCAATGGGCTGAGCTCACCGAGATTTGATTTCCCAGCATTGATTCCACATGCTCAAACAACCATGAATTAAAACTACAGACAGTGACACTGAAACAACAATTGCCCAGTATTGCTAAGTCATTATTACAGATAAAAAGCTTGGGTATGAAAAATAAACCATCATTTTCCTTTTCATTAATGTCAACATCAAGCAACACCCAACAAAGCTCACTAGTCCAAAGTATATCTTCATTTCATTGTTTTAGATTAGCAGCACTACTTAAATGGAAGTGCATAACAGAAATAAAAGAGAAATAGCAATGACAAATCAATCTCACACAGCTGTTCCTAATCACTATCATTACAGAAATTAACTTTATCTATTGAAAAGAAACATGCTTTTGTATTACATATATTAACCAAGCAGGTTAAGCCAAAACTATCTCACCAAGTAATCCAAACATTCACAAAGCATCCGATTCTGGGATATTGTTGTCCCTAGTGAATTTAAGGTTAGAGGTTATGTCTCTCCAGCCTTAGTAGATCTTACTTTAATTCTTCCTTCCCTGCTTTGAAAGACAAGCCATGAAATAGACCCATACAGTAAATTGTGACTATCTTCATAAAGATTGCTAGATGCAGCATAAAGTAACTTCTTGCTAGTCAAAAACTCCCTCCTGTTGCTTAATATTCTCAGCCTTCAGTGGAATCTTTAAGGGATGCACAAAGAATGATTTCTGGATTTTACACTTCCAAGGTTTATTGATCTAGCCCTTCAGGGCGCTGTGCATCTGCTCCATAAATTCCTAATGAACCCCTTACTTAGCTTTCAAAGCTGTCTGGCCATCAGTATTCAGCTACCTGAACTGGAGCTCTGTGTGTGAATCCATAAAAAGTAGTATTTGACATCAAGGCAACATACTGAAAAAAACAATATGCTGAATTGCCTACCCACCTGAATATGCTGAATTGCCATCTGAAAATTAATAATATACAATTTAATCAATAATAGTTGATTCCAGTGACTGGATTATTCCTATATTATAAAAAAATTATACTCATTGTTCTTTCGTTCAGGTTCAGTAATAAATTGAAAAAACTGTATACAATATACAGTATATATTGAAAATACAATATGGAGGTCAAGTCCAGTAATTTAATGGATACTATTCTCTGGTTAAAATGAAGAAGAAAAAACATACATCATGCAACTTATGTTTAACAGTTTTATAAAAGTTAGCTCTTATACAGTAACTTGTTATTTCGTATTAATAACAGAGAAAATTAGAAATTAAATTGGATGTGAATAAGAACTGCATTTTCAAAAGTCCGACTTACTTGTTGATTTGGTTTGGTTATAAATATTGTGTGAAATGCATTGTACTATACTGTGTTATTTCAATTGTTTTTTTTTTCAACTTAGTTACATGTTGCTTGTTGCATTTTACATAATAAAACACTACAAGTTTTATTACGGCAAGTCTGTATTCTGCTAGGAAGTTTTTATAATCCTTTCTGTATGTGTAATGAGATTGTTCCCTTCTTAGTCCATTAATCTGAATTATAATTTAGTATTTTCATTACATTAGAATGGATTCTAAGACACTGACCCCTCATCAGCTAAATGTTACTCGAGTCTATGTTTCTAGCAACATAATAGACTTAACATAGCTGCACAGGGGTCAAATTGGACAACTAGTTTTAGTCTGTTTAAGAGAAAAGAACAAAAGGGTTCCACCTCCATTTTCCTATAATGTTATTTTATAGCAATGTTGAGATTTTCCTTGAAATGCGGTGTAATGGTTAAGTATGCTCACTAACCAACCATCTCACAAGTTCACGTGCTCCTAGACAAGCTTTGATGATCATAGCATCATAGGAGCAGCTATGAAAGCTTTGAAATAATGTTTTCACAAGCTCACTTTTAGTTCACATAATAATATTTCACATAATCCTTGTGATCATGCCATTTATAGTAGTCTCTGCCTAAGTCTGTTTTTAATTTGTTTCACTGTAAACCAAGAAAAAGCTGTTTGTAGGTGTGAATAAAAAATTGTGATAGAAAACTGTTGACAAACAGTTAAGAGAAAAACAGTTTAGAATATGCAGACATAATAAGTCTTTATCTGACCGTTATCCGGGCATTGGAAAGTTGTGCCATTATATTTAAAAAAGTTTCCTCTTTCTAATGTGTGCAATTAGAATCTATTTTTCCAGTCTGATCAGTCAGTGAGTGACAATTAGGGTCAAATTATTATTGTAGGGATGCTTAAAATATGGAGTGCTTAACACTCCAAAGTGCAAAAACAATTAATTTATACTCCGTTGTAAATAACTCTCAAAAGATCAGTAGAATGATTCAATTCACTAGGAATAAGAACATCCAGGAATTGAGCACATTAAAACATTTATTGAGAGTTTTAATAAATATGGCTAAACCCACTTGGCTGAAGGCCAACCTCCTGGCCAGAGGACCCCATGAAGTGGGAGGAGTGACCAAGACACAGCTGCAAAGATGGAGAGAGGGAGCTGGTGGGATACAAGGAAACAAGTTGGGGAGAGAAGAGGAGTACGTACTGTACAGTATTTATAATGCACATCAGGATTGATTAGGAATTACTGACAACTGAGGCTGATTGAACTTGGCCCTTGTCATCCCTCTCAATCTTTTGTGATAATCTTAATGAAATAACTATCAATCCTTTATCAGAGAGTCTCGTATCCCTGATGGACCTACAGAAAGCCACATCCTGTCCCTGAATTATAGAGAACCACTTCACCCTGGATCAAATGGAGTTTGATCACAGGGTACACATATTGTCTACGTACATAGGGCAGTTTTAGATATACTAATTAATAGTCTTTGCAAGGTGGAAGAAAACCAGGAACCTTGGGTACCTGGTGAAAACCCACGCAAACATGGAGTCAACATCCAAACTGCATTCAGAAGCCATCCCAGTCAATAATCATATGTGGGATAGGACAGAGAACAATGTCCTTGTTTATACTGTATCACTTAACATGATGGTACTACTAAATTTAGTGCTTCTCTTTAAAACTGTGTTTTTAAAGAACATTTTAAAGTTTATAAAGTTTACCAAAAAAATTATATTGTAAGTAGATAAGAACATTTTGTCCTCTACATTTAAACTTTTTGACATTGACTACCATCTCAATGCAAACCATTTTGTTCTAATGGAGATAATGACAGGCGAGGTGAGGAAAACCGTACTGTACAGCAGTATACCTTGTGAGAAAGCTCGTCAAAAACATTCACGAAAAAATACATTTTTTGCAATGTTTTTTGTTTTGTAAAAGAGACGTTATCGAACAATTAGACTAAACAAGGTGGCACATCTGAAGGCCATCTGCTGTTCTTATAAAGAGAGTGGATGCAGAGATCTTAACCACATTACAATAATTTATGGACATTCTTATTTTCTTAGGACTGTTTCCAAGAAAGAAAAACAAAATGCAGACTCAGTCCTGGGCACATTTGCATGCAAAGCGTGTAGTGAACATGGGTACTCAACCACTCTGTAGGTTTTAGTTTTTTTTTTTATATCAGTCCTTTTTCTTACACCTCCAGTCCATTTGATGCCTTAATTTAATGTTAGTTCCCTTTTCTCTAGTTGGGAGCAGACAAAGAATTTGTTACATTTGTAAAAAAAATAATTGACTGGAAATGCTTCACAATCGTACCCTTTACATTCTTTCCTGTCGTCAATGAGGATGTAAAGTTTTTCATAGTGCTGATTAGATAACGCTATCAGTTGACAATGTATGATTGAATTGTTGTATTTTGACATCTGTTCTGATGGCCCTAAATTAAGCTTATTTAAGATTGATAAAGATACTCTGATTGAGGACACAATAAAATCCAGTGCTCTGTTGTTTAATGTGGAAATGGAATGAACAGTACTAATTAAACTGATAACTGCAAGTAAGGTCAATGATAATGAATCTCTTATATCTGCTATATTGCATAACACAACTGCATGGGTTCAGATCAGAAGCCCACACTCACACTGACA